CAAATGTTGAAGATCATTATCAAAAATTTTAAGCAATTCGATATTGTAAAAAATAAGCTACGATATATTCAGGAAAAGTTTTGTAAAATGCTGGGTTTTTTTTTTATAGGACACCAACATATTCATTGGGCATCTCGAACATGACATGCTTGCTATAGAGAAGAGAAAAAGATATGAGACAGTTCAAAAAAAATCTTTGCCAACTTATTTAGTAATAAATGTGCTATTTGCTTGTAGAAAAATACCAGATATTTTTAAAGTAGAATAATTGCAATTTGTAAATAGTAATCCTAAAAAAGAAGGGGAAATGCATATACTCTATCAAAAAATTAATCGCTTAATCGGCGTATTTTACGAAACCCAGAGACTTATTGTGCGTTGACAAAAAAACAAAAAAATAAAAAAATAAAAAACTAACAGATGAGAATTTTTAAGAACTGAAACATTAGTATTTTCATTTTAATTATTTATAAAGAAGTTCTCTTAGGTGATAAAAAAAATTTCCGACAACCTATTTCCAAGCTTGGGGTATGCATGAATCAGCCATCTCGCGAATAATTGGAAAGCAACTCACAAGTTATTTAGGGATAAAAAGTCACACACAACTGTATCAGAAAAACTTCCCAACCCTCAAAAGGGAATTCCGCGCTATATTTAAGATACTACGCCCAACAGGGGTCCCAACCTCGGACTTCAGAGTCTCGTGCTCAACCGATTGAGCTAGCTGGGCGTCGACTACGATGGAAATTCATTAAAATTGCAAATGGACCATAAGTTATTTAGAGGTAATAAAGGAACATTTTCAGAAAAACTTCACAACCCTTTCAAGAGGTTTTAACATTTCCAGCGCTATTTTTAAAATTTAACTCCCAAAGTGGTGCTCGAATTCCCGACCTCGAGATTAACAGGTTTGTGCTCTATCGACTGACCAGTCTGACGTCATGGTTCTGCTTTAATATATATTCCAAATGAAAAATAATATTTATTCCACTGACGTCATGACTTCCTGATTCAGAGGATTCTGATATTTTGACTATCGCCCACAATCAGTCTGTTCAGCGACGGTTGGCCACAATGTTGGTCTGTAAGAGGATTTTTGATGTGATGTGAATATGTGTGTGTGCCATATAAAACTTAGTTAATACAAGATTTTTTTCAAAAAAAAAAAAAAAAAAATGAAATGGATGCCTCGAAATATTTGCCACCACGCTACAGATTAATTTTATTGGTGGCAAGCGCTATGCTATGATCCTAGATGAAAAATTAACTTTGATCTACCAACAAAGGGAGTTGCATCTTTCATGGCGAAGAATAATGTTACAAATTTGTAAATATTATTTGTATTTGTCTTAAAATATCT